ACTCCTCTCCTATCCAGTTTGCACGTTCAGTGGTTGTTGGATATTTCTTTCCTTTCCTTTTCTGCCTTCTAACATGGACCATATGCTTCAGTGAAATCACAGTCCTCGGGTGATCTGACAGGTACATGGCACGTCATTCAGCTGGGACGCCTTCCAGCCCCACCTGCTGCCACCTAAGTCATTCCCTTCCTCAAGGACCAGCTGGACTCCCTCCAGCTCCCTGAAGCCCTTCTCTGGACTCCTGTAGTCTCCATTCACTTCCCCAAGATGTCATCTAAACCTGCACTGTACCTGGTTTGAGCGCCGTTTCATCTGTCACATGAATCCCACAAAGACTTGATGAGGACCTTCCATGCACAGGGCACTCAGTCGCATCGTTGATGAGGCCATAAGCTCCACGAGGAAAAGGGGCTCCTGGGACACTACACCTATGTCAGGAGCCAGGGCACAACAGCCGACAGTGTGCACCATGAGTCAAACTTGCCCAGAGGGGAATCCCAGAGTCACATGACCCTGAGTAGATTACTTACTCTCAATTGTCATTTTCCTGTAAATGGAATAACAGCCACTCTCTCAACAGTTGTTGTTAAGATTAAATCACACCAAGGTGTGAGTGCTGTCTTGTCTCCTCATTCCCAATTCTCTGTCTGGTTTCTACTTTACTGTACCAGTTCTTACCTGTTCTCATCCTTTTCGGAAAGAAGGGGAGCAGAGGACTCCCCCAGAGTCCTTGCCCTGCGGAGGGAGCTCAGTCAACACTCCCCGAGTGCCTGAGGCACTGGGCACCCACCTCGCCAGGGGGTGGGGGTCCCTCCCATCACATTCAGGATGCGCACCTCCTTTTCCCTCATGTCTCCCCAGTTCTCCTCCCCCCGGGGAGAAACGGGACTTGCTCAGGACTAACTACAGCGCTAACCCATCCCCACCATCAAAAGCTCAATTTAAAAAGTGGGGAAATATAACCAGAGAAGAAGGCAATATGTGACCTTTCATCTTTCAGTGGGGCTGATAATTTCCTCTGAATTTTGCTCAAATGGAAATCCAATATCCCAGTGTACAGATGAAACACTTCTGTAAACAGTCCTCTTTGAGCACATCATGAACATGGTCATATTCACATACACATGGTCATGAACATGGTCATATACACATACATACATACGTACATATTTATTTAAGTCACTTAAATATTTATTGAGCATTTACTATGCACCTTCCCCTGTTCTAAGTGCTAAAGATGCAGCAGTGTTTGGACCAAACTAGTAGCAATAATAACAAAGATCCTTCCCCAGTTATTTGTATCTCTCCTACACATAAAGTTTTATTTACAAAAAAGTACCTTGTGCAAGGGATATGTACTATGAAGAAAAAATAAAGAAAAGGGAACAAAATGTAAAGTGGCCTTTTAAATAGAGTGGCCAGAAAAGCATTCGATTAAAAGGTAACATTGCAGGGAAGTGGTGACAGTGGACCAGTGGGTATTTGGGGGACAGCTCCGTGGGGAGCAGGACCCACGAGGGGCTGGAGGCGGGAGTACGTTCACTGAATGGGGAGGAGACCAACTTGCCGAAGCCAAGGAGTCGGGCAGAAGGAGGAGACACAGCTGGGCAGACTGAGCGGAGGGGCTGAGCGGAGGGAACCTGGCGGGCCGCTCTGTGACTGCAGCTTTTATTCTGTGTGAGCCTGGATGGTTTTGCACCCAGAAGGGAACTGATCTGGGATCCATCACCCCAAGTAGAGAGGAGGGGCCAGTGCTGGGTGCAGAAGGACACCGCAGAGATCCAGCAGTGGGGTGGCCAGGTGGCGAGAAAACGGGAAGTAGAGCTAAGAGAATTTTACGGTGCTGGTATATAATATATATTTAAAATAAAAAAATGTAAAGATGTTTTAAAAAATATATGAATCCTACATTTTCTTTCCCAGACTCAATAAGCCATCTTGCTCACCCCTGGGACAGAGGCAACCCCTTCTTTTGGAGACCACTGCTGGTCGGCTGGTTTGTCCCAGCTGACCTGACTTTCTGCCTTGACACTTCTGGGCTCACTTCCTTTTTCTCTTCATGTTGCCAGCCTGAGATACCAAAACGAGTTTCCTCCACAGACTGAGCGTGCCTACCCATGCAGAGGCTGTCGATCGCATGCAGGAATTCCCTCTTGGAGAAAGTCTGCGGCCACTGTGTCAGCTGCACCCAACCTCTGGGGCCAACAGCTGGGAAACAGGCTTGTTAGACCCAGATGTTATGAGAAGTTCAACAACACGGAAGTGTGGGGAGCACCCCGGCCATGTGCTGAAGCAGCACCTCTGGCGAAGGCTAAGCTGGGCTCCAGCTCACCACATACCAGGAAAGACCAACATGGGGTCTGCAAGGCTTGCTCCCCTTGCTCTGAACGAGGTTCAGGGGATTCTCAAAGGGCTACACCGGGGAAAGCCAGAGGAGTTCAGTGTATAGCAAATGTACTTCCTGGAGATTCTAGCAAATGGCACCCTTGGGGAAAGTACCCTTGACCCTTAAGCAGAACTCAAGATGTGCTTCTCAGACCTGGTCAACTTGAAAGCTACCATCACCACCCTGGGCAGGAAGTCAGAAGTTCGTGGAAGGCAGATACTTATTGAAACCAGATTCCATGGGTTGAAAAGAGCTTAACACTGAGATAAGTGATTGGGGTGCTCTCTTAAAATGTTAGAGCTTGAAAGAATTTAGAGGATTCTCCACCTACCCACTCCCATTTTACAGACAAAGAAACTACAACCACGTCTTGCCCACACCATACAAATGACTATTAGAAAAAGAACCATGAGTAAAATCCAGGTCTTCTGAGTCCCAATTTAGTGTTCTTTAAAATAAACAAAAGCACTTTAACACTGAAACTTTTAGACACAGGTTGGAAGTGTGATTAAATGTTGGGTGTGTAGGTCTCAGGTGCGCCTTCCAATCTTTCTAATTTTACTAGGAGCTCTGGAAGGTCCCTTGAGCCAACTGGTTTCCTGATATTAAAGAGACGTTAGAAAGTTACACTGGGATTCTTACGGCTCACAAGGGTAGAAGAGAGGAAATTATGAAAACCAAGAGATTCAAGCAAACGTTGGCTTACTAAAGCTTGAAACAGCCCAGAGATGGGCTACAGACCTCTTATTAGCTTGGTCGCATTAATAGAATACTAGACAAATTTTCAGTTTTCAAAAGGGGAGGCAAGTAAAAGAATCCTTAACAATTAGGAATATCGTAATTTAAAAAGCTAATTTCAACCTCTTGGGGTGCCAACATTTTGACAAGCAAGAACATTGATAAGAGAACATAACTGCTCTTCCAACCTCTGACAACAGGCAAAAGACAAATACGATGTTGGTTAAAAACAGTAAGGAAATAATCAATAAATCTCGACTTTGGGTAGTGGGCATACAATGCAATATACGTGTCATGTATCACGGAAATGCACACTTGAAAGAGGAGAAAGGGGGACAACTATAATAGCATAATCAATAAAAATATGAAAAAAGTGTACACTTGAAACCTATATAGTCTCATTAACCAATGCCACCCTACTAAATTTAATTTTTAAATAATAATAAAATTAAAACATTAGACTATTATTACATAGTTATATATTATATATTTTATATAATAATGTCATATAAACTTTGTTATGTAAAACTAATTGATAAAATAAAAAATCCTGGATTATCTATAAAATAAAGGAATATTATCATTCAGGGCAGGAATCAGTTCCTAAATCACTGACAGTGGTTCAAAACCTCTTCTGAAACCTTAAGTTAACTGACTGACTTGTCACCTGGAGACCCAAACTGTAGCTCCTCTGCAATCGCACCCTCCAAGGCCACATTCGTGCAGAGGCCTGCAGCACAGACCGCACGAAGAGCAGGCCCCTGCAACAGGGACTGTGCAGTGAAGGGAGAGGGTGGGGCCAAGGCACCCAAGGCATCCAAGCCCCAACTCCTCATTTTATGAAGAGGAACTTGAGACCCACAGAGGTTAATCTGACTAGCGAATGGTTGGCTGATGCACGCACGACATATGCCACCTCTGCCTTATCTTATACCCACAGCAAATACTGATAACCGATCATTACATTCCCCCCATCCCCAGCTGCAAGAGCCAAAACTCTTCTGACACAATGTGCCTGCGACCCCTCCTCCAACTGGTCAGAACTGATGTGTGAGATGGAAGGTGTTTTCCAACTCTGGACTTGCCCATGACCATAAAACAATCTCTGCGATACCTGCTCCAGTGGAAACATGACTCAAAAGAGAGTGACGAGTCTACCAGTCAAACTAGTTCACTGCTACTGTCAAGCCTGAGGTGAGCAAACATAAAGCCTATGTAGCATGACCACGTGTCCAGGCTGAATGGGGCAGTCCAAGTTCACACCTGTATTCCCAGCTTAATAGCACCCCCTGCTACGCCATCATTCTCAAAAGTTGTCCCAGCTTGGATAAAATGATATGGTCGTCCAAATTCTAGGTCACCCCTCATTGTCTGCAAACATTTACAATGTTTATTTGCTTGTTTTTTGAGTACCTGATATGTCAGGAAAATTTAAAAAAAAAAAAAAAAAAAACATGGAATGAGTCACCAGTAGTTTTCTCAAACCAAGGGACTTCCAAATAACCCTAACACCAGATGACCTTTGAAGGCCCTCAAGGACCCCTGCCAAGCTCTTTTACATATTGAGCTTCATATGGGATTTTCTTTGGGGAAGACAAAAACAGGGAGAGCCATAGCTTGCACAAGTCTGACACCACAGGATTATCACAGCTCTGCAGTTCCTGCCTACAGTATCTAGATTCTTTCATGTTGTACTTTTTGACCCATTAAAATTCACATTCTATTCCTGAAAGTGAAATCTTCGTAAAGGATGTTTCAGTCCCATTTCTGGCACAAACAACTGTGCCTTTTGGGTTTACATTTACTTTCTGTTTAGAGGAAAAGAGGAAGTTAAAGTTGAAACTTTTTTTACAAGTTTCAGTCAGTCCAGGGCTAGCCCTGTGTGCCGCTGCATTTACACTGGGGCCGCCAGCTGTTTATCCCAGAGAAGCACAAATCCAGTTCATTTTGAAAAGCCATTGGTCTAGACAGCACAGATACTGGCTCTGTGCTGGAGAGAACGATGCTGGTATCATCGTGCAGAAGGTTTAAAACTTGTACCTGGGCACCTAGACAGAAGACAAGAAGGAACTATAAGAAGATGTCAAGCAAGGTTAGTCCTCTCTGAGTACAGAGACTTCAGAGGGTTTGAACTGCTTTTGTTTTTATTTATCTAGTTTTCTGATTGTTCTATAATGATCCTAGTTTATATGTTAATAATCGAGAAAAAATCCACCAAGTTACCAACCAACACATCATCCAGCAGGGTGGGGAGGTGGGGAGGCTGACAGGCTGAGCCTGGGACGTGTCTGGTAGGAGCAGAGGCCTCCCAGCAGGACCAGAATCTCACACAAGTAGGGCTGGCCTAAGGGCTCGGAGGGGTGCAGGGCGCAGCTCACCCACTGGCTTCCGGAAGTAAGAGCAGGCACCCATGAGTCCTATGGCTGCACCCTTTCAGCTATTAAAAGTATAGCCTTGTGGTGAGAGCCCCACCTATGCCACCTGCCAGGGTAGGTGGACACCTTGCTAGTCACTTACTGGGTGTGTGACCCTGAACAAGTCCATTAGCCTCTCTATTTCTGTTTTCTCGTCTATAAAATAGGAATCACACTATAGTAGCTGTGAAGATTAAGAGAGATGATTCATAGGAGGGCCCAGCATACAGTAAGATCAAAATAAAGGTAAGCCATTATTAGGTCTCTGCCATGAAACACCAGTCCTCAAGTGCACTCCTCAAACCATGTGAGCGGATCCCAAAATGACCAGAGAATGGTCCAAAGAAAGCGCCTTTCTTTCCCCTTCTCCTCTGCTGAAGGCAGGGCTGGAGCATAGTGTCTGCTGTAAGCCCAGTGCTCTCGGGAGCAACGGAGGATGAGGGCAGCCCGGTACAACACACCAACAGATCCCGAGGCCTCTGTACGGGCTGGAAATCCTGCTTTCAAAGTCAGAGTATTTCTAGTTTCTTGTGACTGCCACAGCTGCCAGCCATTGCCTTGGCAAGGAGATGAGTGACTCAAGTGTGAGCTAGGACTTGGCAAGGGGACACCAAACCAGAAGGCCTCCAGGCAGGAAGCTCCAAAAAGGGCCACCTGCTGAAACGGTTTGTCTACAGGCAGCCTTCAGGATGGAGGTGGCATTCTGCTGTCACTAGCAAATTCAGATAAGAACATGTAGTGGACATTTCAAAGGTCCAACAGAACTCACCATTCTGGCTGCATAACTTTGAAACAGTTTTAGGGGGCCCAAGCCAAAGATATGACATCACACTTAAAACCACTGTGGTGTCTTAACCATGTGACATAAGAGCAGCCCCCAAAAGTTCAACAGCAAATCAATCTGTGGAGTTCTAGGGATATCTTGAGCCAAAATGCATTACATTTGTAGTAACAGACTTTTCTTTCCCAAAGTTCAAATTACCTCACTTTAAATCAAAGATATAAATAAACCTCCTGATGTCCATCTGGGTAAAATAATTACACTACTATATTAATTACGTAGGTGAGTGTGTTCTATGGTACATAAGGCGACCAACTCACCCTGGTTTACTTTAGCACCAAAAGTCCCATATCCTGGGAAAAGCCTCAGTCCTTGGCAACCCAGAATGGTTGGTGCCCCTATCGCTGCAAGAAAAATTATGTATGTTGTGTGAAGAGCAAAACAGAAGAGGCACAGTTACAAATGCAGAAGTGCTAAATGCCAAGTTTGTTTGTTTATAGCAATAGCTTCCAGTTCCTTCTCATAGTCCAAAAAAAAAAAAAAAGACTGAAAACCACACTTGCCTCTCCCTTCCCCCTTTCTTTTTACTCTTCCAAAATTCCAAAACAGAATCAGGAAAGCAGTTTTCTCCTCTTGTATGATTGGCATGGGTGCAGGACTAACTGTTGAGTGGACGCGGCCCAAGACCAGCAGGCTCCTGCACCCAGCGCCAGCAGGACAGGACAGTCATCTTCCTTCACTCCCACTTCAGGAACAGGTTAAAAACGAACAAGATGACTTGTGATTTGGGTTATCAAGAGTAAGAATGTGTCCTCAGGCTGAAAACCCAAGAGCCCTGGCAAAACTCAAGACTCACCACACAAATAGGGCATGTAAGGAATGAAGGAGACATTAAAAAATAATTGTTTTACAAATAGCTGAATGGAGAACTAGAAACTGTAAGGCAGAGATTCCAAGCAGTTAGCTCCCTACCCACAATGATGGAGCAAAACTCATGTAGGAGGGGTTTAAGCAAAGGGTTTTTAAGCCTCTGGTGAGGTTAAGAACCCGATTCTAAGAATTAGAATTTCAAACTGAAAGGTAAGACTATATAAGGCAAGAAAGACCACACACTTCCTGGACCCTAAGCCACACAGAAACCACGGCTGCCCACCACTCCACCCCACCCAGAACACCTCCCTAGCCAGCCTTCCTCTGGCTTAGCCCCAAAATAGGCTGGCAAGTTATAGGTGCTCTTGAGTTGTACAACTCCAATTCCTTCTCTGCATCAGGCAACGGAACCAAGTGGAAGTCATACAACTCTTTCCCTCCATAGTAGTACTACTTTGTTGGGGGAAGGGCGGTATGTATTCAGAAACATTTCGAAAAGAGACACGTCCTTGAAAGTCCTACTGTGATAAGTCCTGAAGAATAAGTAACTTTCTTTCCTCGTAAGACCAAGTCATGTACTTTCCACTAGTGTTGATCCTGATTTAAAAGAGGATGCCTTCTTGTAACTCAGCACATCCAAGGACAAGACAGAGGACTGTCAACCCCGAGCAGAAAGCACAGAAAGCCAGGGGGGCAGGAGGCGGGGGCTGACCTCTGCCCAACAGGCCAACAGCTGCGGTCCCAGAGGAAGACATGCTTCACTCCTCTAGAGCTCAGTTTCTCCACTTAAAAAATGAAGGATGTGGGCTAGGATGGTCTTAGGGCCCCTCACAACTCCAAAATCCGACTCGAAATTTTCTGTGTGATAATAATACCTACTGGAAGTTTTGGGTTTTTTTTTTTGTACTTCGAAGATTCAAAAAGAAAAGACAAGTTCAGTAAGTAATGTGTCCTGGCAAAGATGACAAGACCAAGTCAGACTAAAACTGGAAGATTTAAAACAAGCAAATGCCTAACAGTTGTCCAAGTATGTGACCCAAAGGTGGGGGGAATCCTAATATCAACTTACAAACACTGTTAAATGCTCTGGAGCCAACAGAAACAAGTAGATTCATCACAATTACCAGCTGCTCCTCCTGCTAAATTTAATGATACCATGGATTTTAATTCGGTGATCCCTTCCCTACAAGGGGGCCAGGGCAGTGGTGAGCTGTAAAGACTTGGGGGAAGCAAACCAAAGCTTTGACTCTAAGAGGCTCTTTTAGTTGCACTTAAGTCGCAGGCTAACTGGGGACAGTGAGGCCGGGGATGCAACCCACTCAAGAAGTGAGAGATGTTTAAAACCAAGGACGGGCATGTTGACCACATGGGTCAAAGCCAAGACTGCCTCTGGTACTACGGGCCCCCAAAACAATGTTCGTTACAATCCCCAGAATAAACAGGAAGGGGGAAAGCACACTATTTCTTTTTTTCGTGAAAGGAGCTGCAAAGAGTTTTGTCATTTTTGTCATGCAACTTTGGTTGGGTGACTGCGAGTGTCAATGCCCTAAGGGCAGCAGGGTCCCCAAAGGCGAGGTGTTTCCACTCCACAGTCCTGCACTGTCGACCGATTGAGCAAATAGCCCCACCACTCCGAATTGGCTCTCTGGAGCTGCCCTGTGTGGTCTCAGAAAAGAAAGCGACACCGCTGACGGACACAACGGGCAGAGAGCAGACAGCCCATCATCTCCTGTGAGTGCAGCCCCTGGCTGGACTTCACCTCCTCCTCAGAGAGATCAGCCAGAGCTCAAAGCACGGTCTCCAAGGGTCCCCAGCGCGCACCACGCACACACAGCCTCCGACTACTAAAGAGGAAGTCAGGATGTCATGTCAAACGGATAGACAGGCGACCGCACGAGAGCTGCGGTCTGGGCAGGTCTCCCGCTGGGCTTGGGGAAGGGTCCCAGTATCCTTTCTCCCTTTCCATCCCACGTCCCCCTCCTCGCGGCGCAGACTAGCCTCCCCTGGGCCGGCACAGTTCGGCCGAGCCCACGCTGCGCAGCCAGCTAGGAGGCTGAGGAGCACCGCGAGCCTCCCATCCCCCTGCCCAGCCCGGGCCGGGGGACAACACACACCCGCACACATCCACGCTCCAGCTCCCCGGCTGCGCTGACGCCCGCAGCCCCTTCCCCAACCCGAGCGCGCAGTTCCGACGGCCCAGGGAGGGGACTGCGCAGCAGAAAAGAGCCGAAGCCGCCGGCATTCCGAGCAGCCGGTGGCCGCACACACTCCTCCCCTTCGCCGCGAGTAAACAGCTCGCGGGCGCGCTCCGCGACGCGCCCCCATCCCCCCGCCGGGCTCCGCGCCGCCCCGCGCGTCCCGCCCGCCGGCGCCGCCGCCCCCTACCTGGTCGGTGAGTTTCAGCACTGCCATTCTTCCGCTCCTTCGCGCTCACACACATACAGGTCCCCGGTCCGCAGATGTCACGCCGGGAGCCGGGGAAGCGGAAGGGATTGCCAGGGGAAGGGGAAAAAATCTGGCTCCCGAATTTGACAGCCCTCCCCCTGCTCCTCCTCCGCCGCCGCCTCCTGCCGCCGAGAGGCTGACACTGGCTAGTGGGGCTCGCGGTGGAGCCCGCCCGCCTTTATACAGGAAGTACCGGCTGCTGCCGGCCGGGCCGCCACTGACATCACCGCGCGCGGCTCGCCGGCGGCCGCGCCGCCTGGGCCGACGCTGCCTCCTGCCGCCCGCAGCCGCGCCTCGCAGCCCCCGGCCCCCGGCGCCCGCCCGCGCCCGCACCCTGCGCCCCGCCGCGGGGCCAGACTGCCGCCTGCTTTTCGCACCTGCTCACTGCGCCCCGGCAAGCTAGCCCCGGGTCCCAGGGCTGCCCCCGCGGCCCTCTGGCCCTGGAGGATGCCCGGGTGGGATCGGGATCCCACCTAGCCGCGGCCCACACGCACACGCAGCCAGGGACACACCTGAGGAGCTAGCCTTGCCGATGCACCCCGCGGGCGGGCAAGAAAGGCTGCCCACCCGCAGGCCTCCAACTTTAGCCGAGGAGACTGGGTCACACCCCTTCCCCTCAGCCTCTCCCCCTAATCTGAAATCAAATTGCCCAGCACTCCAGATTACCCGACTCGGGTCAGAGACCACAATTCTAATGCTCTCTTTGTTCAATGCAGGAAAGCCCTGGACACATTATAATTCTTTATCAAGTGTTTGCCAAACACTGGAGGGATGGATGGGGGTCAGGGACTCTGGCCCTTTCACCTTGCTCTCCAGCTACCTCCCAGCTGGACATACACAGAGTCCATCGTTAATTCAGTCTCTGGGTTTTGTTCTAGGGAAGGTGGAGGTGGAGCAGTTACTGAAGAAGAAAAGAGGTCCTAAATTACCGGATTAATGGGGCTTTGAGTGTTTCCACCTGTCCTGATCCACCCATTTGCACAAAATCCAATTACTACACTCTTCACCGGATAGAAGACTCAGCTGTCAAACCACGTGGGGTACAAATGCAAGGGCACTTCATAGTCACAGTAGGTGTTGATGCTTCTGGAATTTGCAGCATTTATTCTTCCACTGATTATGTACTCAGTACCTACCTCGTACCAGAGACTGGCATGAAAGGAGGAGCATAAGCTGGCAAGATAGCTAGTCTTAGGAGGTGTCTGACATAAACCACATAGTAGTCAACACTAATAACCATAAGCAGGAACCTAGATAAGGGATCACAGGCAGAGAAAAAATGCTTCTGAAGGAACCCATGACAAAGGCATCAGACCAGACTGACGGATGAGGACAGGCTTCCCTGAGAGAGTGTCAAGATTTGAGATCCTAGAGTTAGGTAGCAAACAGATGGGATACTGCTCTCAGGCAGCCCTGTGTGCCCCAGGGAGGCTGTAGGGCAGACCTGCAGCACAGTGACATTGAACAGAAAACCAGAGCTAGAGTTCCTGGGTCAGGGCCTAACAGCTACTTTCATTCACAAACCAAATGTGGACTCTTTCTACTTTCAGAACCTCCACAAAGATTCCATGAGCAAAAGGAGAGAAGGGCGTGGTAGCATCCTCCAATTTATCATCTAACCATGGAATTGTGACTCCGATCATGCAGAAAAGGGGAGAAGAAAGAGAGATCCTAGCTTCCACTCCTCCATCCTCAGTGATGCAGAGACAAAGATTTTTCTCTCCACAGCCTCCTTCAAGCACAAAGTAGATGCTTTCATTGCATCTGTGAGACGGTTCTTCACTGCTGTTGTTGATATGTCTATTTATTAATATTATCCTGCATGGCTCTGTAAGTAAACTGAACAGGACAGTGAATTCTGAACTTAAATATAGCCTCCTTTCAGAAGAGTGACAACAAAGGATTTAATTTGGTGGATGCACTCAAGATCCACTTTGGTTCATTAAACATGCCTGTACAGAAGTCTGTGGGGCCTGATTGGAAAGGAGGAGGGAGTCATTCTCAACCCAACCAGGCCCATCATCCCCTTTTGTAACTAGTATTTAAACACTCCCTTTACTATTTTGAAGTAAAACCCATAGATAATATTAGCTACCTATGCAAATTTCAAAAAAAGTCTAATGTAATGTCTAATTGTATAATAAAGGAAAAATGAAAGGAAAGTAGTTTATAACTAATGTGTATTTCAATAAACAAATGCTATAGCACAACTCCGTTAGAAGACCAAATAAATAGTAAGATGCTTGCACCTGTATGGAGAGCCACTGTGAGAGAGAGAACCGCAAATGTGGACCAATGCGAATGTTGTATTAACAATGCAAATGTCAACATTCGTGTTGTCAGAGGTGACATGACTTTGTGAAAGGTTGCAAGGGTCTTGGTCAAGTTCCAAGCAAAATAAAGAGCAAAGGATTGGGCCAAAATTGTTAATACAAATGCATTTAACCAGGAATTCTGGCTTTAATGTGTTAGTTCAAGCATTGAAAGTGACTCCAACAGTTTTGTTAGTTGGTTAAATGAAACTCTGACTCAGTGTTGTCTATATTCAGTGAGATCAAGACGACAAAATGTCTCTGGTATGATGTAGAGAAAGAAATTCACAAGTTTGCGGAGATGGAAACGTTGGAGTTCTTTTATCATGTGCAATCTGTCCACCAACCTGCAACTACATAGCCCTTAGAGGCCCAGGTGACGGTCTCCACACTAAGGCACTGGAAGATACATTAGTAAGGGGAGCAACAGAAAAGCTCCGTAGTGCCTGGATATGATGGTAGGAGATGCTTCCACTGAGATGGCTCCCTGATTTCCATGATAATGGGGTCCCAGGATGGCAATGGCCAAGTGGCAGTGTTTAATTGTCAGGGAAAGGTGACTTTACTACAAAGTTGTGCTCAAAGGTCTTAACCTGCCCGGATATTCAGTAACACCCTAGGTGTCCCAGGAAATTAAATAAATGGGGAGACTTCTGAAATATCCCTTGATCTTGATCTTGACCTTGATCTTTAAAACTGTATCTCTGCTGCCTAAAACCTGACTTGGGCCATCAAAATGAAAACTCATTCTTCTCATCCAGTTTTCATGCCTCAGCCAGTTCACAGACAGAGCCCCTTTACTAAAAGACAGGCTGGTCCCCTTGAGGAAGGACCTTGTAGCATTACGCTAAATATATACAACAAATTTTCATCCAAGCCTTTCCCAAAGGAAGTAATGATGTCATTTACTAGGATGACCATGCACTGAGGAAAAGGAAATACCCAGATAGTTCAGACATTACTAGACACTGTTCTGAATTGATGCTAATTCTCAAGGATCCAAAATACCTCTAGGTCCATGAATCAAAGTGGAGACTCATGGTAGTCAGGTGATAAATGGTGTTATCACCCAAGTATAAATCACCTGGATCCAATACATTGGCAGACCCACTCTGTGGTTATTGCCTCAGTTCTTAAAGGTATAATTAGAATGGACATACTCGATAACTGGCAGAAGCCCCATTACTTCTCTGACCCACAGAGTAAAGGCTATTGTGGTGGTAAGGGCCAAGCGGAAGCCTCTGGGAATTCCTCTTGCTGCCAAGAGAGCAAACCAAGAGCAATGGCACATCCCTGGAGAGATGCAGGTATTAGTACCACCATAAAAGATGTGGATGATGCAGGAGTGGTGATACTGTCACCTCCCCATTTCACTCAGCTATTCGGCCTATCCAGAGGCAGGCGGAGCTTAGAGAATAACTATGAATTGTTGTAAACCTGATCATCTACAACTGCAGTTCTGTGTGTGCTAACTTTACTGCAGCAAGTCAGCTCAGTGCTAGGTACCTGGTATGTACCTACTGATATGGCAAATGCTCTCTTATCTAGTCCAATTTGCATCTAAAGCTGTTTTATTTTATGTAGCAAGGCCAACAGTCCACCTATATATATAGTCTTCTCTATGGGATGTAAATTCTCCTGCTCTCTGTCATAATCTATTCTGCAGAGATTTTTTTTACATTTTTTTTATTTTTAGAGAGAGGGGAAGGGAGAGAGGAGAGGGAGAGAAACATCAATGTGAGAGAGAAACATCAATCAACTGCCTCTTGTACGTGCCCCAACAGGGGACTGAACCTGCAATCCAGGCATGTGCCCTGACTGGGAATTGAATTGGCAACCTTTTACTTTGCGGGATGATGACCAACCAGCTGAGCCACACCAGTCAGGGCTAGTCTGCAGAAATCTCGATCACTGTATTAAAGACAGTAAGTTGATTGGATCTAATAAACAGGAGATAAATACTATAGATGCTTTAATAAGGCACCTGTGAACCAGAGGATGGAATATAAACCCCAAGAAAATGTACTAGCTTAGTGAAGTTTCTGGTGGCCCGTTGATCCAGAGGACATCAGGATATCTCTCCAAGGTGAAAGACGAACTGCTGCACCTTGCACCACCTACCACTAAAAATGAGACACAATACTTGTTGGGCCTTTTTGGGTTTTGGGAGCAATATGCCCCATATTTGAGGGTGGTGTTCTGACCCATCTACCCAGTAACCTATAAGGCTGGCATTTTAAAATCAGGAATAAGAGAAAAAGAAGATTCTGTAGCAAGAACTTATGATCAAGAGAAATCCAATGATACTTGAAGTATTGCTGACAAATAGGGATGGCGTATAGAGCCTCTGGCAAACTCTGACAGAAGAGTCACAATGCAGACAGAGTTCCTTAGTCTCAGAGGAAAGCCATGGCCTCTTCTGTAGATAACAATTCTCCATTGGAGAAACTGTACCTGGCTTGCTCCTGAATTTGAATGGCTGACCACAAGACCTCTAAGTGACTGTGCACCCTCAGCTGCCCATTAAGAACTAGTGGTTGGTTATCTGACCCACCAAGAGCAATCCCCTTATCAAATGGAAATGGTATGTAAGACACTGAACTTGAGCAAGTCCAGCAACTTGGAAAGGATTGTAAGATTGATGACAAGGTCTGGGGAAGAGCAATTGAGTTGGTCAAAAGGTTCATTTGGTTTTTTCCATAAGATAGCCCTAGGAGTGCTTAGTTGTCTTTAACTTCATTTGAAACAATTTTGTTAGATTATATTGTGACAGCTGACATATCAGCATGCACTTTTTAAAAACTTATCAAAATTGGTCATTTTTGTGTAGCCATTTTAATATTGAAGATGGAAGAACGTATATTATACTTTATTATTTCAAGAAAGGGAAAAATGCAACTGAAACACACAAAAAAGATTTGTGCAGTGTATGGAGAAGGTGCTGTGACTGATCAAACATGTCAAACATGGTTTGTGAAGTTTCATGCTGGGGATTTCTCGCTGGATGATGTTCCACAGTCAGGTAGACCAGTTGAAGTTGACAGTGATCAAATCAACACATTAATTGAGAACAATCAACATTATACCACACAGGGGATAGCTGACATACTCAAAATAAACAAATCAACAAAGTTATTGGTGAAAATGAAAAATGTCTTTAATTTTATAGAAAAAAAATTTTTTAACTTTTTGGTCCACATTATATGGATGCACTTCTCAGAGCTGACGCAAAAACATAGTGTTTATATGTAAAACAGATTAAGATGTAGGCTAAGATGCCCTGGCTAGTGTAGCTTGGTGGATTGAGCATGGGCTGCAAATCAAAAGGTCTGTGGTTTGATTCCCAGTCAGGGCACATGACTGGGTTGTGGGTCAGTTCCCAGTGGGGGCCCACGTGAGAGGCAACCACACACTGCTGTTTCTCTCCCTCTCTTTCTCCCTCCCTTTACCTCTCTCTAAAAATAAACAAATAAAACCTTTTTTAAAAAGATTTAGTCGAAGATAATTACAAACAGATTTTTTTTTACCTATATGAATAACCAGTACTAAGTAGGACATTTAAAATCCATATTGCAAGATACCTGACATCCCTGATCTCCACCCAATAAATGCTTGGAACATCTCCACTCTTTGTAGCAACCAAATACACCCCCCAGATTTCAAATATACTCTCTAAGGTGCAGTCCTGAGAATCACTGTATCATGCTTATAATAGCCTATGATCGTAATAAATCCACCCAATTTACTATATCACATTTCACCACAGTTGTTTCACTTAGTTCATTTATGCATGTACATCCATATATTCATGTATGAATGCATATTCATATGGACATAATGCATAAATGTATGCATGCATACATATATGTCTATGTGTATGTTAACATACAAAGAGATGAATATATATCACTGTAGTGGACACTGTGGTGTGCCACCCAGTTCCCACCTTCAGGACCAAAGCCCTGATTTCCCTAACTGGGAAAACATTACCTGCAGACAGCTCAAAGTTGTTCATCCCCCAGGAATTGCCTTTAGTCAAAAGTAATCGTCTCACCTAAGGTTACAACCCCTCCCCGGGAACTCTTCATATCCAGTGAGTGCAAGGGTACAAAGGCCAGGCCTCTTGTCTCATTACAGGATGTCTCTAATGGACATCTAGCCCAGAGCTCCCCCTGGAATCAGCAGAGTCCTGTGCTGCAGCCGCAACACAGATCGACTCGTCCCGCTGCCCAGTCCTGCACCCCTCACCCGCTGCAGGCGCGGTTCCCGCTGCCAGGCCCCAGCAAACCTTGGCGCCCGGCTCTTCATCCCGGAGACTGTCTCCCAGGGACCCAACCTAACATAATCATAGGTTTGGACTTCACACAGGCAGTTTAGCGAGTTAATCCCCCGCTT